TATTATCAAAGAAAATGAATTTAAATTTTCTCTAAAACAAATATCCAGCCATAAATGTTTCACCAGAGAATTTTATCAATCACATAAGAACATCCTATGTTGAATTTTCAGAGAAGACCAGACTACCAGAGACAGCTGGGAAATAACAGCAGCAATATTGTGCTGAGATGAGAATCCTTTTGCTACACAATGTTGGAAACCTTTAGTATGTAGGATTAGACTAAAATAATTGAGCCCTAGGCCAGGGGGCTCAATTGGCTTGGATGTTGTTTCATACACCTAAAAGTTTGCAGGTTCAATTCCCAGTCAGGGCACATACCCTAGGTTGCAGGTTTGATCCCTGTTAAGGGCACAACCAATCGATGATATCTCTCTCTCTCTCTCTCTCTCTCTCTCTCTCTCTCTCTCTCTCTCTCCTCTTTCTGGAGGCAGCCGATTGATGTTTCTCTCTCACAATGATATTTATCTCTCTTTCTTTTCCTCTCCCTTCTCTCTCTAAAATCAATAAAAACATAACCTTGGGTGAGGATAAAAATATATTTGAAGCACATTCATTGAAACACTTTCTTATGTAGCTCAGTTCTCAAGGTAACAAGTAAATAAAACATCGGAGCAATTATTTACTATGTGAGTGAGCCAAGAGTCACATTAAAAAATTGACTGGCACCTTGCAGTTGTTCTTCCAAAAAGACTCAGGAAGGAGATCAATGGGTAGATGTGTCTTCACAAGCCGGGGTGATGGATTCTTCTCTAATTGCTCTACACCTGGGGAAATTTAGTTTGGTAGATAGAGATATTAGAGTCTCCAAGGACCCTGCATTTCTTGATTTTCTCAACCAGCCTTTCAAAATATTCCTGAACAGTATATAATGTTACTAAATTTTAAACTAATCATAGGCATTATTTGCCCAGATTCTAAGAGGCGATATTGTATGATGGTTCAGGGCATAGGATATGAGATTAGTCTCCTTGGATTCAAATCCTAACTCTATCACTGACTCACTGTGAGACATGTGAAAGTAGCCCAGTATCTATGCTTCACTTTCTGCATCTCCAAAATGAGGAGTAAAAAATATCAATCTTAGCACTTTGGTTTTATCGTACCTGTGTATGTTATAAATAATTATAAAAATGTTTTCTCTATGTCAAAGAGATATTAATATCTAGTAAGTTTCACATCAACTATAGTTTTACATCAGCTATTATAGTAGCGGTGATGTCATTTTTGTGTAGCATCAGCTTTTTTTCTGCATTTTCATTATTTCCTTTATGTGTCATATGTATACGGAAAATGAAAATGGTGTGCAACTTTTAGGTGTTAGCTGAATTCCCCAAAGTAATAAACTAATATGTGGTTGAAGTCTTTGGACAAAGGATATATAAACTCCCCTGAGGCAGAAAGTATCCATTTATTTTCTATGTTGAGAATCAGGAGGATCTCACTACATAAGCGACTTGGCCAGTCTGAAGGCACTTGTGGAGTAAAGACAGAGAATTTGTGGCATAGGCTAGGAAGAGCTGTGCTAACGCTTTTCACTTACTTTTCTCTTAATGGACTTGTGGCCTTTATCATATACCAGATATAGCTGTTACAGATGTCATTTCCTATAGAGTCATCAAGATCTCATTAATTGTCATCTCCTCTTTCAGGTTTCACAGACAATAAATCATAAAGTCCTATTCACACTATTACTTGTATCCAGTCTAACATCTAGATTACCTGTTAATCCTACATTATCTTCCCACCTTTTGTATATGAAGACACACCTGCCCCAAATTTTATCTGACTCACTCCTTCAAAGCAATCCTATGTTTCACCTGTTTACAAAATTTTATTGCAGATGCTAAAAAGTCACCCAGTATCTCCCTACTAAAACATCCTTTTGAAATATTCTATATAGCACTTATTTTTATTTCACCATCCATTTACCATTTGTTTATTGTCAGTTCTCATGTGTCTTCCTTGTCACCATCCCCAAACACACAGGGATAGTGTTTGTTTTGTTTACCAACAAATGCTTTCTAGAGAGTAGTGCATAGCACATGGTTGTATTAAGAAAACCCCTTAATATCAATGAAGATAGAATCGGAAGACTTAGAACAGTGGTTCTCAACCTGTGGGTTGCAACTCCTTTGGGGGTCGAATGACCCTTTCACAGGGATTGCCTAAGATCATTGGAAAACACATATATAATTACATATTGCTTTTGTGATTAATCACTATGCTTTAATTATGTTCAATTTGTAACAATGAAAATACATCCTGCATATCAGATATTTATATTACGATTCATAACAGTAGCAAAATTACAGTTATGAAGTAGCAACAAAAATAATTTTATGGTTGAGGGTCACCACAACATGAAGAACTGTATTAAAGGGTTGCAGCATTAGGAATGTTGAGAACCACTGAATTAGAAAATAAAGATGCAGAAATTCTGGTTAAATTTGAATTTCAGATTAACAACAGATGCCTTTTAGTATAAGTATCTCCCATGTAATATTTGAGATATACTTATCTAATCTAATAAAAGAGAAACATGAAAATTGACCGCACTTCCACTATACCTGAGCCACGCCAACCAGCCAATCAGAGTGACTATATGCAAATTAATCCAACCAAGATGGTGGCTAGCAGCCACAGAGCTGGAGCAAGCAGGAGACTTGGTTGCCCAGGCGATGGAGGTAGCCAAGCTTCCCGCCTGCCCTGGCTGGCTGTGGCCTCCGCTCAAGGCAACAAAGTTTCAATTATAGGAGATAAATAAATCCCAGATACCTGCTTCCAGCCAGCCTCCCCTGGGAGCTTGGGTGGCTGGGGGCCATGGCCAGCCTGCAAACAGCCATCAGCCCCTCACCCAGATGGCCACACCCTCATGAGGTGATGGTCTCTGCTGGGGGGCTTGGCCAACCTGCAAACAGCCAACAGCCCCTCACCCAGACTGGCCAGGCACCCTAGTGGGGACCTCCACCCTAAAGGGGCTGTGGCCAGCCTGCAAACACCCATCAGCCATTCACTTAGGCTGGCCAGGCACCACTGCAGGACCCCCACACTGATCCAGGACACCCTTCAGGGCAAACCAGCCAGCCGCCACCCATGCACCAGGCCTCTATCCTATTTAATGAACGGGCAATATGCAAATTGACCATAACAGCAGAATGACTGGGAATGACTAGTCACTATGACACACACTGACCATCAGCGGGCAGACGCTCAATGCAGGAGCTGCCCCCTGGTGGTCAGTGCACTCCCACAGGGGGAGCTCTGCTCAGCCACAAACCAGGCTAATGGCTGCCAGTACTGCGGTGGAGGGAATCTCTCCTGCCTCCTCAGCAGTGCTAAGGATGTCCGACTGCAGCTTAGGCCTGCTCCCAGCTGGCAAGTGAATATCCCTAGAGGGTTCCTGGGCTGCCAGAGGGATGTCTGACTGCCAGCTTAGGCCCAATCCCCTGGGGAGCAGGCCTAAGCCAGCAAGTGGTCACCCCCGAGGGGTCCCAGACTGCAAGAGGGCACAGGCCAGACTGAGGAATCCCCTATGAACGAGTGCACAAATTTTTGTGCACCAGGCCTCTAGTACTAAATAAAATTGTTATCTGAATTTCAGATTCAATTGGGTATCCTGAATTTTATAAGAAAAAATTAATTATACATCTATAAAATTCCTATTTCATTATGCTTCTACTGACCTGATAGTTACAGCCACTTTACTCAGCATAGAGAAATGAGAGATTATAACATTCCACAACTCACTATTCCTCAGTGCCATGACATGAGTTTATTTCTTTTGTGGGTTTTTCCCACATTATTGCTCCTTTTCCCTTCCTCAACTTTCTTCTGTCTTGTAATTGTTTTGCCATTGAGATCCTTTAAATGAACCCTTTACATGCACAAATATAAAAGTTGGGAATATGTAATGACACCACCAGTATTCACATTCAGGCTCCAGACTAAATCTGAGTGTCAGTTTATCCTCCTTTACCTGGTGTACCTCACCTGCTCACTCTCTGGCAATGCTACACAGCCTTAGTAATCACCTCCAGCCCCCATCTCCCACAAATAGTCCCCAACTCCCCTATTCCTGATTACTTTAATTCTACCACTTTCTTATTTCATATTTTTCTATGGGCCTCGAGTCTTAGGTCACTCTGACACTCATTTGGTTGCTTGTCCTTCAGTTCCAAGCTTTAGCATTTGCCCTCTGACTTCAGGCAACCACACAGGAAAAAGGACACATGCCCAGTTAGTTGGTCTTTCTCTGCCAATGTAAGCAACCAGCTCCAGTAGGCGGTAGCATTTCGATTCTGCTCTTTAAATTGATGTACAATTTCTTCACTGTACTTATTCCAGGCTTCCAACAGCACTAGAGAGCCAGGCCTCACTTCTTAACACCTCTCACTTGCCTTCAGGACATCATACTTTTCTGATTCTCTCTCAGCTCACTGTTTGTTTGTTTTTTAATAAATCTTTATTGTTCAGAGTATTACAGTTACTCCTCCTTTTTCCTCCCAAAGCTCCCCTCCACCCAGTTCCCACCCCACCCTCTGCCCTTACCCCTCCCCCCACTGTCCTCATCCATAGGTTTACGATTGTGTCCAGTCTCTTCCTGAACCTCTAGCTCACTGTTTTTTAAAAATTACAAATCCTACATGATCTGTCCCCAGCAAGCCTCCAATTGTTTTGCATCTCATTCTTCCCTTCTTTCATTGTTGTTGTTGGTTGTTGTAGTTTTTTTGTTTTGTTTTGTTTTGTTTTTTAATCCTAGGACTATGCCAATGCCTTTTCTGCACCTAGGTCTTTATAGCTAATATTTCACCTTCCAGAAATATGCTTTCTCCAATCATATGCATGGTTTTAGGATATCTCATGGATATCTCTCAATTCAGGAGAGATATCCCTAATCATCCAGTCTAAAGTGAACTCTCCTGTTGTTCTCTTTCATAGAGTCCTATTCTCTGGATACATAAGACCAATAATATGCACATGTTGGTAGTTTACTTATTTAATGTCTCAATATTACCATAAGCTCCTTGTGGTTAGGACATCTAATTTACTAATCATCTTATATCTAGTTCATATAATAGTACACAATTATTTAGAAACAATAAATATTTGTGAAATAATAAATAAATTTTATTAATAATAAATTTTATTTTTAAAAGGGATTGGTACTTATTATTTATTGATTTATTTAACTACAGCAAAGTTTTAAATCAGGAACTTATTGCTCTACTCCACCAAATTCTACACAATAAGTCAATAAAATATAAGGAATTTTTTATATTATCAACTAAGTTTTTAGTTGTTTCCTACAACAAAACTCATTCATTTTTGGTTACCATACCCAAATATGTCATAGGCTAAAACTGCAGTTTCTCTATATGCCTCAGTTATTGTACTGCTTTCAAACTTCTATTTTATGTTACCAAATTCACTCCATTTTTAGTGGAAATCATAAACACAATAATTAATATGTTAGATAAATAATCTTGCAAAATAATAATTACCAAATGGTTTAAAATTACCTGACGTTCTTAATCCAGGGACAGCCATTTCCAACATTGGAACTTTCACAGTTATAAAATCTCGCTTAGATTTCTCAACATCTCCATCATTTAAAACCATGTCCACAATTTCACTTACCCAAGTGGTACCTGTAGCAAAAAGCAACATTTTTTATAAACCATAATCTGAATCTGAGGGGAAAAGAACCTACTGGAAGCCTGCCATCATGATATATTTCATTAGAAACTTAATTCTGCAGTTTCATTTTCTATGCCCCAAATGCCCATTTTGATATATTTGAAGTAGATTGCTAGACTGACTGATAGGCATATTAATTTTATTTAGGATGATAATGATTTTGTAGAGAAGTTGATTTTCAGAAAAGAAAAGTTGATATAAGACCTGCATTTTTCAGGCCACAGAACTCACCTGATTTGGGGTAAGTGGCTATCACAATGTCATCTGGCCTGCTGTGGAACTGTTCAACCCTTTCCCAGTTGTCCACAAAAGCATAGATCATGGGATAGCCATAAACCATCTTCAAATTTTTTCTCAGGACGTCTTTGGGAGTAGTCATTTTTGTACCAAATTGTACAGATTTTTAATAGAATTTTTTTTTTACAGTCAAATCCTGGAGAAATAAAGAGAATGAAAATCAGAAGCTGGGTAACTGATGTTATTCATAAGAGACCACAACATGGCACAAAGTAAAATTGGCCTCTAACACACTGAGCACAGAGATCTAAATACAAAGGGCGTTTTTGTGGGTATACAGCTGTAGATTGCAAGAGCAGCAATTGGCCCAGTGACAAGCAGAACAAAGGTCTTTGGTGGAAGCTTTGGAAGGAAAGGGAACTAAACTGCATATCTTACTTTGAATTTAAAAAATCAGACTTCAGAGACTTATGTTAAAAACTATCTGGACTTAATGCAAAGCAAGTGTATCACTCATGATTATACTTTAGTTTACCTCATTTTTCCTTACAGAAATCTGTTTTCTTTCCTATCTGTTTTCTTTTTCTGTCCAGAATGCATCTGTTTTCTCTGTCTGCTTGTAAGTTCTTTGTCACTGATTTTGAGCAATTAAATTACGATGTGTCTTGGTGTGGCTGTTTTCAGGGGCGTGTGTCTGTGCTCATGCGTGCATACTTCAGGTTTATCAAGCTTCTTAGAAATGTGAGTTTTACAGTCATTATTTCTCCAAATCATTTTTCTGTTTCTTCTTCCTTCTGGGATTTGAGACCCCATACAATTTCTAACAGCTAACTGATGTCCTATTCGTTTTTAAAAATCCTTTTCTCTTTTTGTGTTTTAATTTGGATGATATCTATTGCTCTGCCTTTATGTTCACTAACCCTTTCTTCTACAATGTATAATCTATTGTTAATCCCATCCAGTGCATTTTTTTCAGACATTGTGGTTTTCATCTCTAGAAAATCATTTTGGGAATGATTATATATTCCCTGCCTCAACTTTTCAAACATATTGAACACAGTTATACTGACATGTTTGCAGAGTCTGCTTAAAGACACAAAACAAGTTAATGGCAACCCACAAATAGACTTAATTTCCAAGCTCTGCTCCCTTTGTCACAGTGAAAATCAACCATGGGTGGGATCTACCCAAAGTCAACAAATATTTTTGATTTATCTTATTCAAATAAAAGGTTTACAGTTTATAAGGAAATCTTTCTTTGACAAAGAAAACTTTCCCTTACAAAAAGCACAAGCTCTCCACACTGAAAATGTCAGAGATTAATGGTATGAGTAACAAGATGAAAATAGGGCAGCTGATCTGAATACACCCTGGTCAGGTCAGATCTGGGATGTGGGTGTAACCAACGTAGAAACCCAAGAGGATTAATCCTGAATTAACATGGCTCATTGTGACTAGTGGCTGACGATGATTTCAGAATAATACTGGGAGATGAGTCCAGGGGGTAGGACTGGGAAACATAAGAATACTAATCTCATTGAACCAGATACATTGGACGATGGTTCATTATGATATTTACTTTTAAATATAAAGTTAGTTAATAAAAAATCTTTTAACTATAAGCATGCTCAAAACGGAAATCATTCAAAAGAGCACAATTATCTGTGGATGCAAGACAAAAACTTAAAGAAGAGAGATTTAAAAAGCAAACTTTGCCTCACAATTTAATCCCCTATTTTAGTTTTCATTGTCTGTCAATAGTGCTGCTGTTGAAAGGAACCCTGGGAGTCTGGAGTAGTCCAGGAAGGGCAGGGGTAGGGAGTCCAAGGAGGGGGGAAAAAGTAGTTTCAGGATATGATCTGTATGTAGTAGTCGGTGACTTTACAGTCAATTAAGATATAAAACAGAGGCAAGGCCTGCTGTTTCAACAGCTGGCAAAGCCAGGAAGCACTGAGGAGGAAATGAATCAGGGTGGTGGCCAGAACTGAGCAAAGTAAAAAATTGTATAGATTTGAAGGATTCCACAAGCCTTCAAAGGATCTGAGAGGAATGCATAGGCCAAGAACCAGAAAGGTCAGTGGATGAAAGACCATTGCTTCTCTAGCACATATAAGAATGACTTCTAATTTTGGTTGTGATGAAAAGTCATGATGTTTGTGTGTATGTGTTTTCATCTGGAAGAAGCATAAGTTCCCAATATCATGGAAAGAGCAAACATATGCTGAAGCAACAATTTTGGCAGCAGAAACAGAGAGGCTAGAGCTAATGGTTTAAGAATGGGCAGATACATAGAGAAGGAGTGAATAAGAAACTTGTGTGTGGAGGAATAGAAATGTGCTCCTGCCCTCTACCCCCACTACTTCAACCACCCTATAAGATTCCCTTTTGGTCTAGTTTCTGGTATCAATCCTTTTATGAAGAACATTTGTTTCAAACTTAAATACAACTATAATCACCAACCCCTTACTCTGGTAATTATACTGATCAGGGTAGGCTTGGTGAAGTCAAAAGGCCCAGAAAGAAAGTAGCACACTTTTATATATCCCATTTTACTTACAGATTAAAAAAAAAAATTCTAGACATATTTGTGTTTCTAAAAGACCTTGCCATTAACAACAGATTTCTAATTTTTTTCAGCCAGTGTTTTAATTTTTAATTTGTGTGGAAGGCAGAAGTGTGTGTGTGAGGGAGAGAACCTGGTTTATTTGTGTTTTGCTGCAATTATGGGAACCATAATCCTTCTCAGTGCATGTGCAGTACAAACCTGGAGAGTACTGAGACCCATCCTGTTAACATCTATGTGGCTCTCTTTGAGGATTTGGAACATATGATTTTTTTCTGTGATATACTCTAGGCTAGTGTGTCCATTTTTTGTATGATTTTGTAACTCTGTAGACTAAGCAATTTTCTTTCCTTTTGATGACACATGCAGATATTGGTTTCCACAACTACCACCTTCCTGCTCACCATGCAATCAAATGACATGTTCCAAAGACACAGGGTCAATATAGTCCTACCAAAGTTTAGAAATAATATTTTTAATTGGATATACAGATTTGCTATTAAAAATTAACTTTTTCAGTGTTTGTTTAAAAATCAACTGATATAGGCAAGATAATAATGGACATCTAGACAACCTGAAATCAGGCAGAGATTGGAGACCTCGTAAATAAACTCATCAGTATAATAGATTATTGGACTAGCCCAGCCACAATTAGTGAAGCCATGCAAAATAACAGCAGGACCAATGAAGTCAGTGCGGGGAGCCTATGGGCAAGAGGGTGGCCTCTATAACCAAACCCCTGAGCTTTACATTCCAAACTCAAGTTTCACCTTTCTGTACCTCTACAAGAAAAAGAAAATTCTAACAAAAATATTTGAAACTTGTTTATCTTAGCTGAAGTTAAGTTTAAAATTATCTTGTAATATAAGTTCATGCATCATAGGATAATAAGGGGAAAAAATAATGAAACCCCATGCTGAAGATTTAGGCCAGGTTGTTGGGGTAGTAAATAGAAAGGTGTGTCAATTAGGTCAATTTGTTGTATCAAATATGTGAAGGGTAAGGAAGCCCTAATAATGAAATTTTCCATACAATAAAAGGCTTTTGTTATTCTTTTTTTTATTGTTTAAAGTATTACAGGTCTCCTTTTTTGCTTTTGTTATTCTTGTTTGCTAGTTGTTCTCATAAAAATGTACACACTGATAAATGTGTACATTTATATAACACACAAGAATATATATACCACACAAGAATAAACTCAAAATGGATTAAAGCCTTGCATGTTAGATTCAAACCCATAAAAACTCTAGAAGAAAACATAGGTAGTAAAATCTCAGACGTTTCTTATAGCAATATTTTTTTCTGATACATCTCCTTGGGCAAGGGAGACCAAAGAAAATTAATAGGTTTACATCAAACTAAAGAGTTTTTGCACAGCAAAGGAAACAGTGAAAAGACACCCCACTGAATGAGAAACATATTTGCCAATGACACATCTAAGAGGAGGTTAATATCCAAAATTTACAAAGAATTTATAGAACTCAATACCAAAAATACCAACGATCCAATTAAAAATGGGCAAAGAACCTGAATAGAGACTTCTCAAAAGATGACATACAGATGGACAATAGACATATGAAAAGATACTCAGCATCACTAGTCATCAGAGAAATGCAAACTAAAACCACAATGAAATATAACTTCACACCTCTCAGAATGGCTATCATCAGTAAATCAAAAAATACGTGTTGGCAAGGATCTGGAGAAAGGGGAATCCTAATACAGATTAGTGCAGCCACTGAGGAAAGCAGTATGAGTTATCTCAAAAATTAAAAAAATGGAACTGCCTCATGACCCTGTGATTCCTCTTCTGGGAATTTAGCTGAAGAAACCCAAAACACAAATTTGAAAGAATGTATGTAACCCTATGTTCCCTGTAGTATTGTTTACAAATAGCCAAGATCTGGAAACAGCCCAAGGTCATCAGTAGGTGAATGGGTAAAAAACTGCTGTACATTTACACAATGGAATAGTACTCTGTTATAAAATGGAAGAAAATTTTACCCTTTGTGACAGCATGGATGGTCCTGGAAAACATTATGCTAGGTGAAATAAGCCAGTCAAAGAAAGACATGTACCGTATAAATTCACTCATATGTGGAATAATGAACAAAGTGAACTACCAAGCAAAATAGAGAAAGACTCATAGATAGAAAGCAGGCAGACAGGAAGGATGTTGGGAGTGGTGGAGGGACTAAGAAAAAAAAGATAGAGAACTAATGGACATGGACAGCAGTGTGGTGATTGTGGAATGGAGGTGGATAGGTGGAGGTAGTAGAGAGCATAAAAGGGATAAAATGTGGTGGAGCCCTGGCTTGTGTTTCTCAGTGGTTATAGCTTTGGCACATGTACCAATGGTTGCAGTTTGGATTCCCAGTCATGGGTACATACCTGGGTGGCAGGATCAATCCCAAACCCTGAAGGAAGTGCATGAGAACCACAACCAATTGATGTGTCTTCCTTACATCAATGTTTCTCTTTCTCTCCCTCTTTCTTTCTTTCTCTCTCTTCCTTTCACTTACTCTAAAAAAAAAAAAATCAATGGAAAAATATCCTCCAGTGAGGATTAACAACAACAACAACAAAAATAGTGATGGAAAAAAATAAAACAAATTAAAAGAATAAATAAATAAATAAATAAATAAATAAATAAATAAATAAATTCCTGAGAACTGGGCCATCTGTTACCACCTGTGATGGAAATAGTAGTAAGAGTCACCTTCTTGAAATTCTTGGTGTCTTCATACCTC